TTTTAGAGATGTGCTTCACATGAAAGTTGTACCCCTTAATCTCAGCTTCGTAATGATATCAAGAACACCTTAATCGGAGCTGTGGATCTCAAGATACGGCCTTCCAAACAAGGCTGCTTTACCATCGTCTCAAACTAGCCAAATTGGAATGTTTTTGCTTTGTTTCATTATCATTTTCGCACAATTCACTTGTCTACATTGATAAACGACCAATCATAAGAAATGTACACTTATGACTCTGAAAACCATTTAAATGAGTCTAAATAGAAGTAAATCAAGTGTGAAATTTCACATAAATACATGTATATTTGATTTATATCAATGGTAAGTGTTAAAATTGGTGAACATAAAGTGAACACATCTAAAAGTTTTGAACATCTAGGATCCATTGTAGAAAAAAATGGAAGTATTGATAAAGATGTAACATATCGAATTCGAATCGGGTGGAACAAATGGCATAGCGCGTCATCAATACTTTGTAATCGTCAGATACCATTGAGTTTGAAAGGTAAGTTGTATCGAACGGCCATTCGACTAGCGATACTTTATCGATCTAAATGTTGGCCCACTAAATATATAAATGAGCAAAAAAAATGCTAGTTGCGGAGATGAGAATGTTAAGATGGATATTCAAGTATACTAGATTGGATAGGATTAGAAATGAATGTATTAGAAAGAAAGTAGGGGTAACTCCAATAGACGAGAAAATTTCTTGAGATGGTTTGGGATAGGTGGAGACCCTGTTAAGATGGTAGATACTATAGAATTAATAATCAAAATGAACAGGGGTCTAGGTAGGCCTTTTAAGAACTTAGAAAGAACCATAAAAAATGATTTGAAATATGATCCATATAACATACCCACCAAGTATCAAAAAGAGGTTGTTTTTGTAGTAAAGGATAATTAGGAGAGTATATAAAAGATGATGATATATTAGAAGAGTTGAAAACAAAAAAAAAAATATATATATGTATAAGGGTAATGTTGGTATTTAAGGAAAACATACTCTCAATATAAAAATTCTGCTCTCAATTTATAAATTGTCATTTTTATTTTGTTTCTAGCTCAAAGCAATAGCTTAACTCTGTTAAAGTTATGAAGACGTTTTAGTCTTTAACTAGATGGTACCCGCACGATGTGCGGGATAGATAAATTATGTATAAAATCAAACATAATAAAAATCAAAGAAATATTTTATATTTTAGTAAATTGATATATAATATAAAAACACTAAGTTAAACAATGTTACATTAAAAGTAATTTTTATGCGCTACTTATTTACAGAAGAAAATAAATAGATCCATATATTGATATACGTGTTAAATATATTTCATTTTCGTGAATCATCAATATATATTTCGCCATGTTGTCCCTAAGAAAATATCAAACATTGAAATCATTAATTAAGATTGGCAAAGAAACTCACCGTGATGTGCATTCGAAAATACTTACTGCAGAAAATATTTGCCCATAATTTCCAAAAGTTAGAAGCGAAAAACTTTTGACAAAAAAAAATAATGATTATTAAAAAGAAAAACATAAATCCTAAAAAAAAGAGAGAAGAAAAAAGAAGAAAACATTCCGGTATAAACTGGGATTGCAACCTGATTGAGTTTTATAATCACACTTTATATATACATAATAATTTTATTCACATGATTAATACGATTGGAGTGATTATAGGCATATGTTTATATTTGATTTTGTTAAAATAAAGTAAATGGATATTCGTGTATGCAATTAAGATTGATGATATATCTCTAAAAAATATTATCTATAATTTTTTTAATTATTTCATTTCAAAATAATATTAATATTGTTTAATGATCAAACCAATATGTAATGGTATTATTCAATCCAGTCGGAAAATATTTTCAAATCAATCAGTTTTAATGTTGAATTAAAGAATCATAAATGATTTTGTAGTTATTATTTTCGAATTTGAAAAAAGCATTAATATTGTTTAATGATCAAACCAATATTAATGGCATTTTCAAGCCAATCAGAAAATTTTTTCAAATCAATCAGCTTTAATGTTGAATTAAAGAATCATTGATGATTTTGTATTTATTATTTTTGAATTTTAAATAATCATTAATATTGTTTAATGATTAAATCAAGACGTAATATTATTATTCAAGCCAATCGGGTAATCTTTTTCAAAACACTCTTATTTAATGTTGAGATTTTAAAAATTTTCCGTTTTCTTTTTCATTTTAGGGAATGTAAAATAGAAAGTTTACCATACAATTAATTGATATACTTTAATTAAGAATTGATAACAATTTATTAACTGGAAATTTAAAGGACTGTTAGTGTAATTATTGTAAATATTTTTTTTGACAACCTATAAGAAAATGACACATAGGATTTTGTCTTATGTGTCAATGGGGAGAGAAGTTTGATTTCCTCTCTCTGGCTTCTCTCTTAGTATAATACTATAGATTATTTACTTTTATAAAACTAGACTCTTATGGGATTTTTTATAATATTCATTTTTTTTCTCCTATGAATATTATTATACACTTAAAATCTTTTTTTGGGATTAAATTATTAAACTGAACAATTATTATTTCGGGAGACCGCCTCCAAGGTGATACTAAGGGTGAACTTTTCTAACATATGAAACTTATTACCATGTAATATACTATAAGCCAATTTTATATAGAATAAAAAATTTTGGCTCCAGGCCATTAATTAAAGAGAAGAATGTGATGAGGCTATGATGAGAATCATATAGTCTTCCATGGTGGTTCTCCTAGTGAGGGGAATGAGCTAATCCTTCATTCTAGTTTTTGGATGCCAAGTTTACTTTGCAGGTCAATCAAGGAAGAAAGGATAGATCTTGACTACCTATGTGATAGGGAGTTGGTTCAAGAGAGCTATGATCAAGATGATGATAATGTCATTAACTTTGGGGTTCAAACCAAAGAATATGATTCACTCATGGAAATAAGTGCTCAAGAGTATCAAAGGAGTTTGACTCTAGGTATTCCATGAAGATCATTGATCAAGCTAGAGAGAAGAGTCACTTAGGTTCTTGAATGGACGGGCTATTTGATCAAAGTGTTCAAGATTGAGTCCATTGCTACACAATTGGATATGGTGCAAACTATCTCAATTGTTTCAAGTGTTTTTCCATTCTTTTGGAGTCAATAAAGAGAATTCTACAAGTCTTGGAGTCAATTGGAGTTATCTACAACTTCAGTGGCACAAGACCAATATTCAACTTTTGGAAGGGCGTTCAAGACATTTTACTTCAATATTTAGAGCTGAATTTCGGATTTAGAGTATTATTTAGTCTAGGAGTTTAATTTTTGAATTTTATCTAGTTAAATAAGTCATATGGACTGAATTAAGCTACAGTGTTTTGATTAGGAGTCTTAGATTCCTTCTAAGTATTATCCTATTTGAGGATAAGTCATTTAGATAAGGTTTCCAAGATTTTAGATAGGGTCAAAGAGATCAAATACTCTTCTAATTCTTCTCCTGCGTGAGATAAGATTAAAGAGTCCTAGTTGGTCTTCTTTTTGGTGCTTATGGCCGAAATTGCTAGCCTATAAATTGGGGGGGAGGGGGGTATGGCCGAAAGTTAAAGCACCCGTGTGTGGTCATTTTGAGTCTTCTCTAATGAGAGTTTTTCCTGTGAGGAATTTTTATTAAATGGTGTGTCCATTTTTTGTGTCAAGTATGACTTAACCAAGAAAGTTTTCATCTTGTCTTGGATCTTTTGATCTTGCAAAAATCGTTCTTTTACAAGTATGCTTCTTGATAGAATTGTTTTAAACCTAAACTTCTTATTTTCATACTACTTCTAGTAGTTCGAGAGTTGAGTCTTTCTTTTGGCTATGGTTTTCGAGTTCATGATGTGTGTGTTCATGAGTTCCTTTGTGGGGTTTGTCCTACTTTTGTTGGATGAGTTGTGCTTTGGCATAAGCATTTTGAGATAGCGTATGTGTTGCATATCTTTGTTGGTTATTGAGATTACTAATCAATAGTATTCCTTCATATTTGAGCATTGTTGGCTCCTACCTTTCTTGAGTCTCTTGAATGATGAATGATGACTGATGACTGATCGAGTATATTGAATGGTGTCCTTACTATTCTTAGTGTGGGTTGTTTTTTAATTCAAATCTTTCATATATTTTATGTGTTTTTTGCTTGGTTTGAGTTAAGAGATAGAAATCCTTAGATAAACGATCGTCTTACCGTGAATTTTCCGCACTCTTTTGAGTTTCACGGGATAGACAAATTACGTTCGTACTTTCTTGTGCGATGGTTGCAGTAATGAAATTTGCTTTATCTACGAGATTACTATCAGGCTATATCACTGTTCGATAAGGTGAACGTTTGTAATAGGCTTAGCACCAGTAAAGCATCGCTAAATTAATATATTTTTTTCCAATTCCAACTTGAGATAATGGTCAAAAGTGTGAGAAAAATTATTATAAATAATTATATTATAAAATAATATTTTTAAATATCAAATATCTTCTATATATATATATATATTGGTCCCTATAATACTATAAATCAATACTTATCCTAATAAAAATAATATTAATAATAAATACAAATACGTAGTAAAATCTGAACCATTAATCCTTTCATTTAGCTGTCTTTGGATTTTAGTATCGAGGATAGTTTTAATACTTATATGATTCGATTGTAAGATAATAATAATTAGGTAATTTAGTAAGGATAAGTTTTTAAAAAAAAATTATTAATTTATTGATTATTATTATTTAATAATTCTTTATTTAACTAAAAAATGTAGATGATCCCAACACTAATAATTTAAAAAAATCTTAGTGCAGTCAAGTTATAGTTGTAACTTGTAACGTTTAATCTCCTCGCTCAGATGTAAGCTCCTCAATATTTTTTGTAATAATTATTTCTTTGATTTGTTTCCTATTCATCTAGGTTTGTGGTCAGAATGAAATCCTATTCGAATTTGGCCTAATGGGGTTTTTGTGCCTATATATACAACATAACATAAACCCTTTTCTTATCTTTGTCCTATATGTTTCTCTCATGGCGGCGGCAATATATTGTTGGGTGTGTAAGAAGAGTACGGAGGTCCGGTTTGACAGTTCCGCCGGAGACACCGTGTGCGACCAATGCGGTTTGTTATTAGAGTCCCGCAGCATCGACGACGAGAAGTATCAAGGGAGGCCGTTTATTGAACGTTCCGGTAACGGCGGCAGCGGCGGCGGAGGCGGCGGTGGTTCCGATCGTGTTGATCGGGCGTTTGCGACAATCGCCGCCATGTCTTCTAGGCTGAATCTCGATGACAAAATTTCGAATCGGGCAAAAGGGTTGTATAAGAAATTGCTTGAACAGAAGCTTTGTAAAGGGAGGAATCAAGATGCTTTAATGGCTGCTTGCCTGTACATTTCTTGTAGGCTGGAGAAATCTCCCCGGACATACAGAGAAATCTCCCCTGTTGCAAACGGCGCAACAGATACCCAAATTGGGAACCAAGAGCAATACATTGTGCAACAATTTGGGATCGATTTGGGTCAGATTCGGGCCACGGATTTCATCCGGCGATTCTGTTCGACAATCGGGTTGGAAAATCATGCCATTAACGCCGCCACGGAAGCAGCTGAGAAAACAGAGCAATTTGACATCAGGAGGAGCCCTCCATCGATTGCAGCAGCTCTGGGTTATTTAGTCAGTCAGCTTTCAGATGATACTGATAATAAGCAGAAGAAGCCACTTCTTGAAGATGTTGCAGTTATAACCAAAGTTTCAGAAAGGACAATTAGAAATTGTTGTAATGATCTTGTTCCTCACCTTTCAAACATGATTCCGAGTTGGTATGCCAAGGAAAATAGGATACTAAAATTTTGTGCAGCTCTTGATTTGTAGATATCGTAGTTTTTTTCGAATGTAATTAACTTTCATCTTTAAATATGGGCAATATGACTTTCTTTCAATTGTTATAATCTTGCTTGTAGTTTATTTCATTTGGGGATAGGGACTTGAACCCTCACGGTTTTAAAAGTGTGACGGATTTTCCTCTTAATTACAAATTTTATTGTTGTCAGAATTGACATAAATTAATTCGTCCCCCAAAAATTTGTGTTCATAGATTGTTGAAGCTAGTGTAATCAGTCATTCTGCTAACAAAATAGAACGTAAATATTGTGCCTAATAGAGAGCAAACTTTGCGTTTCTAAAAAAAAAAAAATCAATTCTTTTTGTGAAACTATTTGATTTGAGTTGGGTTGATTAATCACAGTCAACACCTAATGTTCTTAAACGTTACATGTGAGGAGGGTTAGTCAAGCCTTCGGCCGGCAATATTTCCCTCCCGGCTGAAGAGAGAAGTAGAGGAAGAAAAATGAGTTAGTAGACAACATTTAACCTAAGCACATTTTCAAGATATAATTGGGCCTGAACTGGTCGAGCAATTCAAAACTTCAGAGTAACAGTTTAAGGAGAAAAAGAAAAAAAAAAAATAGAAGAAAGAAAGAAAGAAATTAAAAAAAGAAGCGTACATATACTTAATTTGGGTTCGGCTAGGAGCTATGGGTGAATTATTATTACCTGGAGGTTAACAGCTCAAAATCATTTTGTAGAGTCAATAATAATACATAACTATATTTTAATAAAAAATAATAATTAATTTTCCACCATCACTAAATGTAATAAAATACATGAAACGAATTTTTTCAAAATAATTTTCATTTTCAATGTTTTTTTTCTTTCCGAAACAAAGTGAGGCCACGTCTTATATACAACACCCCTATTACATCATGATTGAGCCAAGCCTTCACCAAAGTGGGGGGATCGATACGATGTTTCATGCCAACTTTGTCTATTTGAGCCTCTGCTGTACCTTATAGCATCTGCTGCAAAATTTATTTTCCGAAATTCATGGATGAGCCGGATCATCCAATCTTTGTCCATCAAGTTTCTAATATCGGAGAAATTGCCTTCATGGCCACATGGGGGGTCATTTTCTATCCATAACCATTTGAAATATACAATGACTATCAACCTCTGCCATAACACATCTCACTCCCGGATCCCATGCTAATATTAATCCATGATATAGTATGGCCAGCTCCGCTGCTGTTATTGTATCTGGTCCCAAACAAATTGAAAATCGCTTTTGCCACCTTCCCTGGCAATCTCTCATCAATCTCCATTACTTGCAATGCCTGTCTCCACCCTAGAAGGGAGCTGCGGACCTTCTCCAAAATTCCACTATACATGTCTTTATTCAATCGGTCATGAATCAGAGGGACCCCCAAATAATTCTCAAGATCCTCCACCTCTTGTTACGTCATAATCCTCACCACGTCGGTGTTTTCTTGTACTCCTACATTCTTTGAGAAAAATATTCGAGTTTTAGGTTCACTCACCTTCAACCCAGAAACCGCTGAAACTTCTCCAGAATTCCCTTCATAAGCCATGCTTGCTCCATCTTGTCTCAATGAACAACATTAGGTCATCGGCAAAAAGGAGGTAAGGAATTTTACAGCCATATCTACCCAAATGTATCGGCATCCACATGCCAGTTTGCACTGCCTCCTCTATTAGTTGTTTAAATCTCTCAATGCACATCACGAAGATATATGGTGTCATCAGATCCCTCTGTCGGATTCCCCTCAATGGCTTGAATTCATTTCTTACGCCAGCATTGAATCGTAATTGCGTTCGTTGTTGATTCTATACGTATCATCACACTCCTCCTTAATTTAACTGAAACACCAGCCAACTGAAGCGTTTCTCTTTCGAACTCCCACCGCAAATAATCATGCGCCTTCTCTAAGTCTATGTTCACTGCCACCCATACTTTCTTCCCCTGTTTCAACCTCATGGAGTGTATGACTTCTTGTGCTACAACAATATTGTCCGTGATGTGCCGCCCCGGTACAAAGCTTGCTTGCGCCAACCCAATGATGGTTGGGAGTATAGGTTTTATTCTATTTGCGATTACTTTGGTAACCAGCTTGTGTATCACGTTGCAAAAGATTATAGGTTTGGATGATTGCAAATTCTTTGGATTTTCTATCTTTGGGGTCAGGACTACTACAGTTTTCTTGATGGCTTCCGGGCTCCGATCACCGTCAATTACCCCCCGGACTGTAGAGCATACTGCTTCCTTCACTTCTTGCCAGTTCCTTTGATATAACATCGAGTGTAGCCTACCAATCCTTGTAACGCTAGCAATATTCCTCTTTCTCCATTACCCGTCTCTCCATCAGCCGTTTCTGTGGCATACCCAGGTTAGGAAACCCATGTGAGCAGCAAAAGGGCACCAATTGTGCAGTGCCAGCAGTCTAGACTCCTTTGAAATATCGCTTTACCAACTCTTCAAGTTCCGTCTGCTCTATTATCCCTCTGCCCTTTTCATTCTTTAATTCCAAAATTTTATTGCGATCCCTTTGTGCTCTAACTATCTCATGGTAAAAACTGAATTTTCATCCCCATAAAAGTGCCCATTCCCTTAGGCTTTTGAATCAACATTAGTTCCTCTTGGTCCAAGATCCCTTCCAACTCTACCTGCAGTTCCTTTTCAAACTGTAGGAGCCGAAATCAATGGTGCCTCTCTTTGGCTTTTTGGATACCACCAATCTTGACCTTTATTCTCTTTTTCCTCTTCTCTATGTTTCCAAAAACCTCTATATTCCACCTCCCGTCCTCCAACTGGAACCTTTTTGCCACCTCCTCAAAACCCGGCCCATGCACCAAACTACTCCTCAACATCTCCTTAAACCCATCATGTAACATCCATGCCGCCATAAATTTGAATTGCTTCCTCCCCGGGCCCATTCCTACCTTCCTGCATCGTTCAACAGCAGCGGTTGGGGATTAGAGTCCAGTGCGATTAATTATTATTGACACTTCGACGTTGTGAGTTTTAGTTCCGCCGCTAATTTAAAAGATATGATTACCCCAAATAATTTGGTAAAAATTATTGATATTAGATTGATTCAAGTTTCCATATGTTTATCTCTTCGTGCGTGTATAGAATATGAGTGAATTATATTTTATAGATGACACTGAATTCACTAGAGGATTCAGTTGAGAATGCTCACAATTTTGCAATAAAATTTTTTTTTGTAGTAATTAGTTTCAATTAGTAATTTTGTACTCTCTCTGTACTGATAAAATAATCTATATTGATTATTTTAAATTCTCTGATTTTTTGAAACAATTTTCATCATTTAGTTATTATTAGGAAAATTCTTTTCCAATAGTCTATAATTCTTTGTTGGCACAATGGGAATATTTAAGTTATCAATCAAAAAAACTTACAAGAAACGTCTATATTTTCTCTATTCTAAAATGATTATCTAATTTTAAATTTTATTTTTACTAAAATTTGTATTAAATTTAAAAAATCAAATTAGGCATTCATTTCAAGATGAACGGAGCACAAGGTTGTCGTTTTTTTTTTCTTGTAACTAAAGCCAATAATTCTTCACTAGCGATATTGTCAGCACAAACATTAGTCTCTAAAGCAAAAGACGTCCATGTTACCAAAGTTGTAGTTAAAAACTGGTATTAAAAATAAAATTATTTACATTAATTGAGATGCTTATAACTTGTGTGCTGGTAATATCACTAGCTAGAGCACAATTATAATGGATGAACAGAATTCATTCTCGTTAATTTTTTTTTTTTCAAAAAACCAAACTTTCTAACTTTTTTCTTTTTTGGAAAATAATTTATTATCTATCCAATTGGAAGCCCATACTATGTGGAACACATCCATTCTATATATATATATATATATATATATATATATATAAACCCCTCATTTCTTGCTAACTTTCTTCATAAAATTATATTTTTGCCTATCTTCTATCTTCAGTTGTACAATCCTACGTGGTATAGTCGGTTTTGAGTCTTCAGTGTCACTTTTGTGCGACACTCGGTGTCACATTAGTTAAATAAATGACACGTATTATTATTATTAATGCTAACAATCTAACTAAATGGTAAGTAAACCCATTTGGAGAAGTGATTAAACATGTGTCAATCATAGTGCCACACAGTGTAACATAAAAATATCACAGAAGATCTTTCACCAGTATAATCACGGTAGATTTTTTCATGTTATATAAGTGGCATATTGAGTTAATATTAATTTTAGGAAGAACATTCCGATATGTGATTATGTAATCTAAGAGGTCGTCTCCTATATGTAAGAATCTCTTCTTCCTTTCTTTTTTGATTGTTGTTTATTTTTAAACCACTCCTGCAGTAGTCATTCTATATCTCATAATGATTGATTTTGTGCACGAAATATTCGACGATGAAGTAAAACATCGAATCAAAAAACTATGTATTGCTCAGAGAGTGCACGAAGACAATTAACAAAAAAAAAAAAAACCTATGTATGCAATAACAAAAAACTTTTAACTTTCTTCAAGCTCTCTCGATAATTAACAAAGTTCATTAAAGCGTAAATGAAAATAACATCAAAATGATTATAAAAAATTTTCAATCTCACATAATTGCCTCAAAGCACCAAATCATATTGGCAGCATTGCCTTAGCAACCCTTCACAGTTCACAGCACGCAGTTTGTAGACTTAGGTTGGTGAATTCTTCCTACCAAGCAAAGTCCACCGCTGAGGATTTTCAATGAGTTCCCGCACATTGATATCCATGAATCCTTTATTCATATGCCACTTGGCCGGTCGGTAACTATGAGTAAATCACCGCAACCTCTAAACCTAGTTTAGTCCCCACTCAATTATGGAACCAACTTGTTCAAGGAACCTACGAAATGTCAGCCTATATTCGGGTGGTTGTTAGATTTCTTCCAACTCTTTTTTCATTACAAAGGAAAGGAGAGTTGACTTAAATGGTGAACATAAGAAATTAGTGTTGAAACAACAACGACAACAAAACTGAAAAAAAAAAAAAAAAGAAAAGAAAGATACTAACAAACAAAACGAAATTCCATCACTAAAGTTCCACTTTTTAAGCATCGGGCATGTTTCGTGGGAGTACCTGATACGAAGATGTATCTTTGACCCATGAAAAAAAAATTTAAAAAAATGCCTTTAGCCAATGACGTTTTCCATGCCAAAAAAAAAAAATGAAAATAGCTGTAGGATTCTCTTGTTTCCTGATTACTATACGCAAAACAATGACAATGAATCAAGCCAGAAATGTTGAATTAAATCAACGAGTAGTCGCCTAGATAAATGTAATTTTAACATAAACGATATCCTTCAATTCAACTCACAAACAACCAAAAAGAATAATAAAAGGGGGGAGAGAGAAGTAGCGAACAAAATTAAGCGTTGGGCAAGTTTCGTGCGAATGATTATTCAACATTATGGTCCTTTGCCCCCTTATAAATCCCTTTCTTCTTACTGTAATTGCGTTTCATCATCATCATCATTATTATTATTATTATTATTATTATGATTATTATTATTATTATTATGATAGGGGCATTGTGCAGGAGACGCACTAAGCTCAAGAAATATTACCTGTCTTAGTTTGAAACTTCTAATCACATTTCGTTCGGCTGAAACAACCAAAGCGAACAAGTAATTTGAGATATCTATATGAGTAAATTGCAAAGTGACATTCTCTTAACTATATACCCAATAACAAAATGACAATGAAGTGCGGTTTAGTTGATAAGATGTCTTCCGTTCACTCTAATTAGCATTTGGTCCAACGGGCTATATCCTTCCCATCCCATTAATATGCTCAAATCGTCCACGTTCCAAATCATTTTTTGCTTCAATTTTAAACTACAATCCATATTCTAAAATAAAAAAATCCATATTAAGAAATACAAATTTTAAACTTAATGTGTATTACTTTTTTTTTTTAGATAGAGAGAATAATTATTAATACGGTCAGACGTGAACAATTTAGTGATTACTTATTTCGGATTAAAGCAAAAAAGGTTTTGTGAGAGACTATTTTGTTCGAGCGGTTGGAGATGAAATAAAGCCCACGAAGACATGAGGAAGTCGAATCAATTTGGAGCTAATGTTATTGCATAAGATGACCGAATGACATTGTTTGGGAGGAAAGAGAATCTGTAAGTTTGTGAGGACTGAGGACAATAATAATTTGCGTGCAACTAGGGTGTTTGATATCATTAGGCTTGAAACTTTATAGTAAAAATCTTGCTCAGTTCACAATAGGCTTCTGGTATCGAAAACTGCACGAGAATGATAATAGGAAAAAGAAAGGCCGACGAACAATTTTGAAGATTGAGAGTTTAGACAATATTACTCTTTCAATGTTGAGAAAAAAAGGTGAAATTTTTCAATCCAATAGAATTATAATTTTTGAACAAGTTTTTACATCCCCATCATTTTACGGGGTCATAATTTTACAACAACAAAAACTCGAATATCTGGCATTAGAATCAATCAAGCCAAGTATCTGAACAAGTTAGGGTTCTCCCTATCCCTCTCCAGATATTCCCGGTTAATCAAGTCTTCAATCCTCTTCTTGATGACCTTGACGTCCGGTTTGAACATCCGGCTCAACTGCTCGACGCACTCCATCACCAAGGCCTGGTACCCTAAGACCTTCCGGCTTTTCATGATGCGCACGATGGATGCGTCAACAGCAAACCGCCGGTCCTTATCAACGTCTGCAACGACTTCCTTCTTCTCATCCACCGGAGGAAGAGGGACCTGAAATCCACAAAATCAGCACACTTCTAATGCCAAAAAAATAATACTGTAATAACAATAATAAATAATAAAATATTAATAAAAAAATGTAATGAATACCTTAATCCTCCTCATTCTGTCGGTGAACTTGGCGTTGAACTCAAAGACGTCCGTAGGGGAAATGGTTCTGGTGTTGGGATCCTTGTTCAGAATCTTGTACTTGGCGCATGCAAGGGAATGAAGTACCCTCTTAAGATCGTCATCGGAGAGATCTAATTGCGACTTTAGCTCCTGATAGCTCAAACTGTCCGATTCATTGAATAGCAGCAGTGCGGAAGCCTGATAAAAATCAGGGAAAAAAGAAAAGAAATTTACTTTAAGCTGAAATCACAATTTTCATAACATCGGGCAGATCACGTGCGGATTTTGATCATTTGGTGCGGAAGTAAATTTTTACCTGGTAAGTTGTTAGACTCAGCTCCAGGCTCTTCGAATCAAACATTCCCTTGATGACACATGATCCCAAAGAATAGATCCAAGTCAGTTTTCTGTGCTGCAACCTGGTTTGGTAAAACTCCCGGAACACTTCAACACATTTCACCTGCCAAAAACAAACTCCGTCTGGTCAAATCACACTTTTAAAACTAAATTTAAATTAAAATTGTGCATTATAAACAAGACATACCATCTCAGCCGGAAGTTTATGGTCAGAAGATTTGTAACTAGGCCAGAATCCGGTAGTAAGGACAGTAACAGTCAAGTCCATCCCGGGATTTAGATGTGGATTACTACTGAGATACTCCTTAAAATGGTTTTGGTTTTCTCGGGCGAATGCCAAGTCTGTAACCTGGAAAACAAAAGTTGTAGGTTATAGAACAGTACCAATGACCGCGCGGTAACATTTGATTCTGATAAATGTACAAACAGCATACCATTCCTTCCATCTTCGATGTGTACTGACGCCCATATTGTTGTTTAAGTTTCAACAGGACACTCCTTTCATGCTCATCATTTGCACTATAATCAAATAATAGTCGGCGAGCAAGCTTTTTCCTGTCATCAATTATAATAGTGGCGTTACGTTACTACACGAAAGCTTAAAAACTTTGAACTCAATGACCAAACAGTTTACCTGAAGAATTCTGCAAACAAATCCTTATCGCTAATATAAGCAAGCAGCTTCACCACCTGTGATATACCAAAAATTTCAAGTTTCTACAAATCATAGCAGAACGAAGAGAGCAAAGAACAAACATAAAATCTTGTACGGTGACCTTTTCTAAGGTTTCTTCAATGGCTTCATCACTTAGTTTCTCAGTACTCCCACCTTTCTTCAGGATATTGTCACAGAATGTTGCAAGAAGTTCAGCACTGGAGCTTCCGGCAACAATCTTATTGAAAAGCACTTCGTAGGCTTCCTTTAGTGCCTAACAGAAACATTAAGATAAACAAGATCATACTCTAGTTCTTTATCCAAAAGTAAACAAACAAAGAATTTCCCAAGTACATACCTTATGGAAGAGGGAATGGTTCTTGAAAGAGCCTTCGGCATAGGCAAGGTATTTATCGTGCAGCTCAATCGTCTTCCTCACAAAAACCTGATGACACAGAGAGATGAGCTTTGTATATTAAGATAAATGAACAAAAATTAAATAATAAGATGACCACATGATGTACCTGCTCCTGCGGACCAACCACATCTTTCCTATCTGCCTGATAAGTGAGATGACAAAAAAGAGGCATTCAGTGTTAGCAGTGATAGCAAATCACTAAATTTTTATCTGATTAAAGCTTATTTGATCATCTGCTAAAAATTCTAGTACACACGTGTACAATGTTAAACATACCATTACAGCCAGAAAATCATAATAATTAGCAATGGATTACAAACCAACCTTCTTATTGCTTGCAGCATCTTCTGCGTGCTTGATCAAAGCAGTGCCTTCAGCGGTAATGTGCTACATTGGATGAAAAGCACATATAAAGTCATGGAAAGCTAACTAGATGAATAGAATGACAAAATGATGGTATGTGAAGATAGTGAAAATGAATCAAAAGTATATAAGTAATTAATACCTGTTTGAATGTGTTAGCAACAGTATCTAAACCTTTTGGTATTCTTGAAAAAAGCCGATACATCCTCGACAAATCATCCACCTGATATAATCAAATTAATCAAAAAAATTAATAAAGAGCACAAACCAAATAAATGATAGGCCCAAAACATGAGCACGCACCTTATCATCTCTAAGTAATATATGACATCCAGAATGCTCTTTTTCGAGTAGTTGGGAAGCATATACAGTCAGAAGCTCTTGCTGTACTATTTCAATCAATTTTGTTTCACTACTGGAATGGAGATAATGAGCAACCCTCTCCTTTTCTCGCTTCAAGCACTCTTCCAACTTTAACATATAACCAGGGCAAGAATCTTCAAAAATCCAGTTAGAAGATTTTCGGGAGTAATAAGCAGCAGTATCCTTGAGCATTGCAGCTTCAAAATCCTCATAGCATTCCATTTTTCCCATTCCAATTTCAACAAAAATATCTATTACGTTCTTCAATAAGGCTCTATCAATTTGTACCCCTTCACGCTCCTGGTCAATCTGTTACAAAAGAGGGCAAGAATTATGACTCTTCAGCAAGAGGTCATTGTGAAATCCATATTTAACCACAAGTAATCCTTTTCAGAAGAAACTATGTTTAAAGGCATACCAGGGATATAACTGCATCCCGAACTTTCTCATTCAATATTGCATACACCTGAAATAAAAGTACAGCAAGAATACAAGGTTCATAAAATAAAATTCACATCAAGGTCCAATCTCGATTTCCTTGTTTCTAAACACAGAAAAATAAGGAAAAAAAAAAACAACCAAGAAAGTTGATCTATTAAACCCTGAACCTAGAGATATGAAAGAGTCATATTGTCAAAGTTCAGCATATGATAAGATGAAAATTACCTTCTCTTTGAAACAAGCGAGTCCCACGACCTTTAGACCAGGAATGGACCTTCGGGCAATATAATACCGATCAAGATAATGAAAGAACCGTGACATCCATCTAACCATGATTTTGTGATTTGACCAACGTTTAACAAGCTCTCTCAACAGGAATTCATCATGCTTATCTTTTAGAGAGGGCAGCACCTGAATCGGACAGGACCAACATTTTAATTCAAGGAAAGCCAATGAAATTATACTCATCAGGTTTCTGTTCATATTGACATATGCTACATTAAAATTGACCAAGCTCAAGAAAGCATAACGTCTGTTAGCCACATAGCTAGAGCAAGAAGTTAACAGATTAAACCACTCCTTTCATTACCCCCTCCCAACCAAACCCCATCCCCCCAATTCCAGGCATTTTGAAGGTGAAAGGCTACAAGATGTACATGACCCGATGGCAGCTAGTCTGGTTAAGCATAATCAAAAGCAGGTTCAGAGGATCCATATAAACAGGCATCAATCAATCCGGTCAGAATGTAGTCTGAGTGATACAGAACCATTAGCTACAAAAAACAAATAGCAGATGATGTGTTTGATTCAGATGAAACAAAGAGTTACATTCATTTTAACAATATTGCTATTGCGAGTAAAAGTTAAAAGGGAAGAGCAGAACCATACAAGGCATGTAAAGGATGCACAATTATATAAGTCCAACCACTTATAGTTTGCGAAGATAAACATTCACTGACATTAAAACCATCGAATTAATAAAACTGTTGTATGCATTAACTAGTTACTACGTCTGGAGATGGAAAAGAAAAGAAAAATTGATGAGAATTACACTTACAGTGGAGGAAATATACTCTTCAAAAGTTTCTCGATATTTGTGGTACAACTGCTGAGAATAATCATGTGGTGCCTTTTGGATACACATATCATAAATTAATCTGCACAGAATATACAATTAACTATGCAATAATATCACTAAACCTTCGATAGCAAACCATGTAGTACATATAAGGGAAATAAAAAAATAAGTATTACGTGTAGAGTTTCATATAACCCTCAGAACTGAATTGTGGCTCATCTTTCTCTTCAAGAATGTTCTTGAGTTTTGTGATCCCTTTCTCCATAATCTCCCATCCTTTGCTCAGCTCAATCGGCTCCCGCTCAATCACTGCCATGGTGATGAATGAGCTGAACAGCACAGATTTCCCACCCTAACCTATGTATATATAACACTTTGGGAAGCCCTGCAAAAAAGCATGTATCTGGTTAACTAAAATGATCATACATCAATACTCCAAAACTTATTTGCCTAGTCAAAAGCAAGAAAGTGTAAGAATCAATAAAACTGAACATCAATGTTTTCTACTCCCTCCCTTGCAAAAATTCGAGTCATGTTTGTTGAACTATTCACCAACAGTTCAACTTATGACACAGATTTCGGGACAAAGGGAGTACTGCAAAAGCAAAAAATTTCGGGATTCAAGTTTTCAGTTTATACATATATATATGCTAAGCAAGATCCACAGGAACAAATGAAAAACATACTAAACCCTTACATAAATCTCAAACGAAACGAACTCCCATAACCAAATCAAACCACAAAAACATTAAAAAAACCACAAATCACAAGAAGATAACAAAAAACCCTTATTTCCGAAACTAAGAACAATCTCAAAACCCTATTTACCCAAATTGAACATGAATCATTTCCAAACCTTTAATGAACTAACACAAAATCGAAGCCAAGGAAAACAACGTAGAAAGCTCTCCCAACTGGTATCGGCTGAAATGAACTAGAAAACCCTTCTGCCGCCGCCCGCCATTGTTTCCAAACGAAGCTCCGCTGCTGCTCCACCAAAATGCAACGATTTTCTTCTCTCTTTGGTTAGCTTTTCAATTTGTTTTTTCCCTTTTATACTCATATTTATACATACACTGTACAATCTGTAGCATTGGGATTACAAAAATGCACAAAAAGGTTTCATGACTCAAAAGGTGATATACGTTACGGGTTAAGGTCGGTGTTCAGTAATATTTTATGAATATTATTTCCCTCTTCGAAAAGCCATTTCGGCGCGGCACGTTTTTTTCGTGACCAGGAATGGCGAAATGGATTCATAAATATGAGTAGGAATTAATGATTATTATGGCAGGGTGCTGTTTTGGTTAAAGATCTTGTATTGTAATTAGCAGCATTTAAAGACCCCGGAAATTAGAATTGGTTAGAAACTCTACTGACAGGGGGGTCAAAGTCAAACCTCGTTCAAACACGAACTTCATATTTCCGTAATGTGCTTGTTGAGATTTTATTACTGTACCGGAAAAAAGAAAATAAAAATATCCTTGATGGGAAAATTTTGAATTTTTTTTTGGGGGGTTAATCTGATATTTTAGAATAGGAGAAAATTAACTACAGTAAAATTCTAAATGGAAAGTCGAAATTATTACAATCATTTGACATTATGAATTCTCTTCACCGGAATAATTTGACCATACATGATTTTATACTCCATCTGTGTCATAATAATAATAATAATAATAATAATAATAATAATAACATTGAGATTGAGTTTTGAGATTTATACAATTTTCAAACTGATATTGATTATTTCTTTCCTTGAATTGTTGTCAATGTTTTTTGCTCAACTACTTGACTACTCTACAAAGAAGTTTTCTGCCACAACTAATTGCTAATCAATAAATGTAAGTTTCTTAAATTGTTAAAAAAGAGAAAACTATTGTGTTGTTCGATCTCTAATGGATAGATCACTCTTTTGTCTTTTGATTTTGGACTTATATCCTACGAGATTTAAATGCTCTATTTGTATACATGCTATGGTGTGTAACTCAATATTGGTGACTTGGAGTAGAACGTTTTTAATTTCATTAAGGCAATGGAGGACACTTCCGAAGAATAAAGACAAGCCTGTGGATTTTCAAGTCTTCCATCGAAGGTATAAGGAACAGAAGTCATATACACAGTTGAAACATCTAAAAAATGATTTGTTGTACGAATATTACGCAAAAATAAATGCAATGTGAATTTTGGAGTTGAGACTAAATATCGATCTTTGTTAATAATCTAAAGAAAAAAAAAACACAGAAAACATTCATGGGGTGACCGTTCCCATATACCAAACAAAACATCAAAAGTAGTCTTAAAGCAAAAAAAAAAAAAAAAAAAAGGTCTAATTTTTTTTTGTTACAGAGAGAGGTGCATAAAACCTAATTGCAAACCATTACATTCCGAGGATATGATATCCCAATGACATCATGAGTTAACCAAGGTACAGCCCCTAGTGGAGAGGTCTCAAACCATTGTAAATTTCCGAGTCCCTGTGATGTTAAAGTAGTCAAATAATCTGCCACAAAATTTGCTTCATGATACACATGTTTTAATTCAACAACCCAATCCTTCTTTAAAAAAATGTCTTTAAGTACTATTAAATCTTAATCACTAGAATATACTCCCTCCATTTCAAAATGTAAGTTACTTTAGAATTTGCATGTATACTAAGGAGACAATCATCAAACAATTAATTTATGTGTTAAATATCTATTTTACCCTTCAATAATTATATTGGAACTATAAACAAAACTAAATCAAAATAAATTAGTATTATTTATTGAGGGTAAAGTTGAAAAAATAGTTATTAATTTGCTTAAAATTTATAAAACGACATACATTTTGAAAAATCTCTCCAAACTTAAAACGATCTACAAATTGGGACGGAGGGAGTAAGCAACAAGGAAATAAAACAAACTAAATACATTGCCGGCCGCATCAAAGAAGTCAACTTCAATCTTCCTTGTTTGATGCTCTCTCTTGTAATAAAGAAATAATGTCCGCAGCTATCATCATGGCATCTTTAGGAATCCCAAGTAATCCTGAACTCGGAAAATCTGTACAATAAATTCCATCTACTCCTTTCCTTTGATCAGGTTTCTTTATTATTCGGCATCCCTTCCTCATTGAACAGTCTTGCATCATCCTAGTAAATTCATTAATCACCAAAAAAAAATTAATGGTGATAATTTTGACTAATTAATAAATTTAATTGGTTCGTGACGAAAAATTGTACATCATATGTACCTTTAACCATTTTCCAACCGTGCTTCGACAACCAGTAGGAAAGAAAATGGCTTCAAAATCTTGGCTTGAACCATGGGAAAATCTCACTGAATATCCTCAATTTCTTCTATTTCTGGCACAACCTGACCAAAAATGAAAGATCAAATAAAATATGTAAACCATAATTGTGTGTTAGATAAATATGTGTAAAATGAATGTTAATTCTACCTTGATTTCTCTCTTTTTGAGGTTACCAACCGTTCCAACATCTACAACAGGAGATCTTCCGGTTGAGCCTTGAAGGAAAAATGGTCAGATTTGCGGACTTACAATTCCATTAGCAAGATTTTCGTACCAGGTTTTGCAAAGGATGATCCCAAATATGTCCCCAGTGATCAATGGCTGAAATCTTATTAGTATCATTCCCGGGAAGACCATTTCTCTTGTAAGCACATGAACCTGTTCAAAAATTGAGTCATAGTCGTATACATTCGCTAAACTTCATTCGAAACAGTAACTCATATACGCACACTGAAAAATATAGGGAATTAATATTCCCTCTGTCACAAAAAAAAAAAAAATACTCGCATTAATTGGACAATTTTTTTTAGATAAAAATTAATATGAATCTCCCAATTCAATGTGGATTCTTTTTTCTTAGAACAGATAAGAGTATAAGAATTGCGAATGATAATCAAGGTTTTGGCACCACAATCCACTGGAACATATGCATTCTCCATTCCGGAGTTCCGTGAACCGACAACCAGTACATTTTTGTTGGTAAACTTCCGGCCATTATTTTTGTAAAGGCTAGAATGCATGGCCTTCCCATCAAAGGTATTAAGCCCTGGAATCGTCGGAAAAACACCTTCGTCGTTCTCAATTATATATTAATGTGAAAAGATGATAGCGTGTTGGTTGAAATGGTTGGTTTAACTCGAGTATAAGGAGTAATTAAGCAGCTTGGGAAGAGAAGCAATGTGTGGTTGCATGAGTTGAGTACTGTGTGAGTGTGTGTAATTAAACAGTACCCGTCCTGTGTTTGATTACTACCCGTCCGCCGAGAGACAATTCATTCTTCGGATTTGCATGGATGAGGTCCATCTTGATGATGTCCCAATTTTCTTTCCTTCTTTTTTTTTCTTCCTTTAATGAAAATGCAAAAACGAAATGTCTTTCCATTTATAGTATTTTCTATTGATACAATCATCATGTGAAAATTTAAATAATTTGCTAAGGATTAATTAAATTTAAGAAGTTTATAAGATTGTAGTTAATTGTTCCAAAAGCAAAAATGAATCATAACTTTTAAAAAAATTATTTTAATTCGGAAATTTAAGTATGTCAATTAAGAAAATAACTCATACAATTTATGAGGGACCAAGCCAAAAAACAATATGATTTTTTTTTATTTTTTAATCTTTTTAAGTATTTTTATAATATCTCAAATTTTACTGACTATTTAATAATTTTTTAATTATTAGTGAATATTTTATTAATTAAAACTTTTCAAATTTTCAATTTTTTTTAAAAATTCAATGTGTACAATTTTTTTGAAATAAAGATAGTAATATTTATTACGAGTATAAACAACTTATCTCCTTATCGAACAGATTTTACACACTGTCGGATTTTTTTGTGCAAACACACGGGTAACCATTAGTTCAATTCAATTCAATTTAAGCGTACACATATAAATTATATCGGCAAGATGATTTAGGCTAAGGAACACGCACTACTCGTCTGCATTTAGTTTATCCAAGCATAATTAATTAAACATTTCAGTAAAATATATTCGATGACACGTAAACCTATACTAGACTATATTGATAATTCATGCTCAAGATTTTCCCAAAAAAGTTTGAAGAAATTGAACCTCATTAGCGATGTGAAATTCTTTAGCTAATTAAATTGGAAATTAGGTTTTCACTCTAGATTTTCTTAACTCCGTGCGTGTGTCTGTGTTTTTATCCTCTAGTTGGTTAGCTACTAATACACATGGCCACCCGCTTTCTTCATATCCCGACAAAATAGTTAATTTTATTAAATTAAAATAATACAAAATTAAAATTTTTTAATGAAAATTAGGGAATATCATAGTGA